GTATTAAAATAAATATCTAAAATACAAAATAGCTCAATTACCTTATATGGACTCATGAGTCTGTGGAATATGACCTCACAATCTGGCTTTATCCACCTTATTTTTCCCGTAAGAGCGGCGCTGCCATTTGTACATTTAATGCGTCTGGCTTCCGGTGTGGTTCGCTTTCAGCTATTTTTAGCTCTACAAAACAGCTGGTTTTGCGTCTTGGTTTTGCAAACTGGTGTTTCTTGCCATATTTTAATGCCATGTCTTAATTATGAACACACTGGTTTGTAGTGCAAACAGTTTTACAGTTTACTGCAGTTTGTTATTCTTCTTGTTATTTCCCTTCAGCGGCTAATGAAGCAGAAGTCTCGCACAGTCACAGAAAACGGCTTACTTCCACACTGAATAATAAGATGTATACCTCACAATACAAGTTATCTTACAATGTGACTATATGTTATAATGTAACTAGCCAACTACTTATTTCATAATGAAATAGTCACAATTACAGTTTTTTTTAAATGAAAAAAAGAATTTTTATGAAATGTAATAGACACTCCTAGCAATTAATTTTGTGGTTCCTCACAAGAGGTTGTTACATCGGACAGAGAAACACTGAAGAATCACGATAAACCAGAAATCCAGCATAGAGGGGTTCAGTGAATGTGGTGTTGAATGTGTGTAAGTGTGTGAGTGTGTGTGTGTCAGAGACACTGTAGAAGGACAGAGAGCCGGCCGGCCAGTCCAGATACACTCCTACTCTATTAGATGGTGAAGGGCGAGGAACGTTTGTGCTCTTATTATTGTGCCAGACAGAGTAAATTGTATCACAACAGTAAATATTCCAGGACTTTTCATTGAGTCCAAACCGACATTTGCTCCCACCTTTCCTGTTGATTCCTTTGTATGCCACAGCTACATGACCCCATCCGCTCCATTCAACCTCCCAGTAACAGCGTCCAGTCAGACTCTCTCTACACAAAACCTGCTCACAGTTCTCAAACCTCTCTGGATGATCAGGATGCGGCTGATTCTCTCTCTCACACTTTGTTTTCTTGTTCCCTGCAGACAGAGAGAGACGAGTGTGTGCTGTGTTTGGATCCAGTGTGAGATCACAAGCATCTGGGAAAAAACATCACAGAAAGACAGATTAGAACATCTATGGCTTTATTAAATATGTATTGGTGTATTTGTGTGTGCATGACTTACACATTCGCAGTCCTGGTGTGATCCTGAAATGTTCTCCATGGTCCAAACTGAACAAAGACATAATGAAAAGAGACATAAGTACATACACAAACAAATAATAAGGGTGAATAAATTCTGCATTTGAACCTGAAAGAGTACAACAAATTATTAAATGGTTAATGTCATGAGAAACCAATTTGCCTTGATCTTTTGATCACATCATTACACAATTAAAACATCTTGCAATTTTCAAAGCTCAATATATCCTCCTCAGTACAAAAAAATGCATTTAAGCAAGATTGAAAAATGGCTCATTTAGATTCTGCAGGATTTGTCACACAGGCAAATATATTTATACAGCAAGACACTGATGCTCACTTTTACATCCTCACACCATTGGCCCCACCTACTGGTGCTCAATCAAATCTCTAGTTATGCGTCTCATTTTTTATTGATCATATGTTGGTACGGATGAGAGACCTGGTGAGCCAAATGATTTTTGTCCAACAGCCAGGTGTGGCTCACAAGTCATAGGGTCCCGATCACTAATAGACAGATGCCCAATACTATTTCTTACATACTCCATGCGTTTGAGCTAAAATCACAGTGCTCACAACAGTGGCGTTGTTTTACAAGACCATAGGGTATGGCGCGCGGGGGGGTGATAAATAAAACAATCCAATGGCACACTGAAGCACTGAAATGCAGGGAAAAAGATAGAAAGGGGGAAATATTTCAATAATTAAACACTGCGTCTTCAGTGTTGGTAGTGTATCAGAGACTTGCACTTAACATTATAAGAAAATCAAGCTCAAATGGGAGTTAACAAGGTTTTTGACCAGTGAATGAGGAGATCTGTGTTTTGTCTGTCAATAGAACG